GAGGGATGAATGTACCTTGGGATAATTGCTCCTCAAGTGTATCCTGTAACATTAAAGCAACAAATTCAATTTAAGATAATTGAAAAAAAACAGTTAATGAAGCATAATTCTTAAATATTACTTACAATCCTCTCAGCAACAGCAGCAGACTGTGGAGTAATGTATTGACCCTTTTTAATCCTCACCGCCTTCCATTTTTCTTGGCGAGAAGGATGCTCAATGGGTAGAATGTAGCCAGTAGGATTTGAAGCAGCAGCCATCTGTGCATTCTTCATCCGTTTCTCCATCATACTTCTTTCCAACCCACCATACCCTACACGAGACATGGTATGTGGGTATACATTCTGCTCAGATATTTGTTTGTTCTTCTAACTCAATGCCTATGACAATGAAACAAATTCGACAAAGTTAGTTTAGTTAAATTAAATATGACCTAATTAAAAACTAATTTTGAAGAAACCAAACCTGAAATGCAGGGTCTTCACGTTGTTTCACAAAACTCTCCCATGCCTCGTCACTAATAAATGAATATCGTTCCTTAGGATGCTCACCCTTTCTTTTTCCACAAATATAATGTTTTGTAAGCATGGCCTTAAAATCCCTCCACCGTTCATCAAGTTGCTTAAATAGACAGTCTCTCATTTACTCAGTGGCAGGAATATCAAATATCAGCTGCAATACAATAATAGCATAGAGTTATAAGGTAAATAAGCAACTATAATTGAAACAAGTAGAGAAAACAATTCACAATATACCAATATATCCTCCCAAATGTTTTGTTTCAAATCTTTGTCCACCTTCTTCCAACTAGGAATGTCAATGCCAATCTTACTGCGTGCGACATAACCCACATAACTAGTAAATTGAGCCCTAGTCTTTCCTATAGGCTTCAAATCATCATCAAACTCCACTGTAATCCTCATAAGCTGTGTGGTCTCATCACGTAAAGCTAAATGCCTCATACGGGTTGGCTCTCTACCCTTTCTCCGGCTAGTAAAAGAGCTATCATCACCAGAACCCTATTGACCAGATCCGTCCATTTCCTGTTTAAAGAACAACGAATTAATAAATGTAAGAATAAGAAATATCAAGTTAATATAAAACATTATTAAGTATATTTAGCAAAAAAACATCAAATAATTCATTTAAGCCTTACAACGATTATCCTCCCAAATTCCTTCACAATAATCATCTCTAACAGCATAGTCATCATCTACCAAATCTAATTCAGCTGATTTAGGTCGAGTAGCTGTGAAAGGCAGGGTTTCATTAAGATTAAGCTCTAAGTCACCATCATCTCCACCAACTCCTTGCCTTTTACCTTAAAGCATGATAGACAATTTCTTTTTTGCTAGATCGGGAACGAAGAACACTTGTTTTGCTTGACTTGCCAAGATAAATGGCTCATCTCCATATCCAAACTCTCATGATCGACTGAAACAAATCCAAATTCTTCATCCACTTGCATAGCATTACTATTAACCCACATACATTTGAAGACGGGAACTTTAAACTTGGTATAACTAACCTCCTATATCTCTTATATTATTCCATAATAGGAAATTGCCACCAACATTGGGTTTCTGTCTTTAGAATTAGCAAAATGCATAGTTTCCGCTACTACCATCACCCTACTATTCTACATAAAAAACGGTTCAACCACATAAAAAATGCAAAATGAACAATACAAGTCAACCACAGTGTAAAACTAACAAACCCATTTCAAATATAACAGATTTTCATGGCCAAAACATTCAACAAACCAAGAAAAATTGAAACGAATGAAAGAAGAGGATACTCATAGAGTAGAGATGATTCAAATGCGAAATGAGGGGCGATCGAACGGCGACGGACGGTGGCAAGACACCACAAGCTCAATAGAGGAGTTTAAACAGTGGAGTAGTGTGGGAATGGCCGGTAATGGTAGTTTTTTGGTGGTGGGACAGAGGGGGACCACGGTGCACTACTGATGAACCGAGAAAGAATGACCGAACGCGAACGTTGTAGGGTTAATTAACACACCTTCCACGGCAGTTTTCTTAAAAACCACCGTGGAAAATAACCACACATTCAACTTATTTACAAAAATGCCACTTCCTTTTTTTTCACGTCGTTTTTCTACTTAACCGCCGTTATTTTGCGACATTAAAAGTCTTTTTTCTAGTAGTGAGTTTGATTAACTGTGGGAAGTGGCGTCATCATAAGGAGAATATGTGATCTCGCTTGTTGGAAGGTATCATTAAGTCCCATGAGGAACTAAAACAAACATTGCTGTTGAACAATTTTGTTGTATTATTGAGTAGTCCCATACTTGCATGTAGGAAGAGGGACAACACTGAATGGTCATCCCATGGCTCCTCTAATGTTGTAAAATAGCTTGTTACTATAAGTGTCCCTTGGGTGAGAGAAGAAATGGTTTTGCATAAAGAACATACCTTCACATTGGGAAAATCTGTTAAAAAAAAACAACAAAATATTTGGTTCGAGTCATGTTGCAAGGACATTGTCCTTAAAAGATATTTCGCAACCCCTCAATAATTTAGAAAAAAGAACTCCTTAGAATTAAATGAACACTGCCTTTAAGAATACAGGATGACAGAATAATAAAAGATAAAAAACTCAATAAGAGACAAAAAGTTTCTTCTTAAAAAAAAGAGCGATCTTGGGGCACAAGCCATGTCTTAAATAAGATGTTTGTCCACAAGAAGGGAGAAGCATGTCAAAGGAATTTCTTTCTTTAACACATACGCAATATTTACAACACTTCATACCATCCATCTTGTGAACCTGTCTTTGAGGTCCATCCAAAGCAGGTAGACACTCTCAGCGAAAACCATCTCGCTTGCTATCTCTTTATCGACAAAGTTGATAAGCCGTGGCAACCCTACATTACCTAAATTAGAGAGGTCGGTCAACATCAACCAATGAGCAGAAGTTACTATATGATACGAAGGATAGTTTCAGTTTTCAATAATGTAATGTGAAGTAAACCTAACCAATCAGCTTGAGATTTAATTGATGGGGGTCCTTTAAATCAGCCCACTTGCTGAAAAATTAATTATATAGAGTCCTAGAAAAAGAGGTAAACAACCCAGACTGTAGATAGGCAGAGAATTCAACAATAAACGTATGATAAATTTAAATTTGAAGTATTTATATATAACTAACTAGATGACAACTCAGTTATTATTAAGAAAAACCAAATGGTTATTGAATTGTTGAGTAAGTGATTCAAGGGTTATTATCCAATCACATTATTGAATCGCAGTCAACCCAATTATAATTAAAATAATACAATTTAATTAAAATATATAAAAATATTCATATATAACTTTGAAAAGAGTAATACTTATGATGAAAAAAATTTAATTCACAAGTAAACAAAACATTCAAGTGAAAACCAGATAAAATCCAACAAAACAAAGTTGCTACGATGCAAGAATAACATACTACCATTTAACTACTTTTTTTTCCACTCAAAAGAACGTTGTTTGACGCTCAACAAAGGGGAAAAAAAATATAAACCAACCCGATCGATCCTGTTCAAATCTTATAACTAGACCGGTTATGGTATTGGTTCACTAATTTGCTGGTATAAGTGGTCAAGCCAATCAAGTTAAGTTTTAATATCATGTTTACTCCACCGTGTTTAAGTAATAAATTGTACTTTTCATGCATGGTTGATACATAATACTACACATATACACATAGATCTTAATAAAATACGTTTGATACAAATATCTATTGTCTCTTGAAGTCTAGCGCGATATTTTGAGACAATTAGGTGACGCACTCATGTGTTGCACAAAATTTGTCAAGTTCATGATGTGTGAATTATATAATAATTAACTTATTATAAATAAATCATATATATTGTTTTCATGGTTTATAATTAAATATATACCCATATATTTATTCAATTAAAAAATTCATATTATGTTGGCTAAAATATATAAAAACTCTTTTACCACCCTAACCATTACAAGTTTAAATTGATGACTCTGATTACCAACTCCCCAACTATTAAAATTGCCGTTAAAGTTAATGGTTTTCATCATATGATAGTTTTATATTTTTTTTATTATATACCATTCCATTTAAAAAATAACATTTGATATCTGACATGTAGTTATGAATATTTACACTTAAAAATAAAATTCTTAAAAATATAAAGTACTTAAAAACATTTAAATTAAAATATTTATTTGACAATGCCTTTTTTAAATGAAAAGAAGTAAAAAAAAGTCTTAAAATTATAAAAAAAATGCCAAATATTTTTTTACATGAAATGATATATATTATAAACAATATAAAAACTGTCACATGGTTGGCAAAAAAAAAAAAAGAAGAAGAAGAAGTGATATGTTTAAAAAAAAAACATTACCTTAACAGTAACGACATGGGAGTTAATAGTCAAAACATGAAACACCAGTATTTTTAATTTAAATTTTTAAAAGTTAAGGATGTGATATGCAAGTAACCCAAAATTTAAAGGAATTTTGCGTATTTTAGCCTATTATGCTTTGTACACATAGCTATGATCTATTAAGTATGCGGCACAATTTTTTGATACAACTAGGTGAGCTTTGCTGTCCATTATATTACATAAAATTCGTGAAAGGAGCAGTCAAGTTAATGATTTCCGAATTATATACATGTTGGAGTATTTCGTGTGTGTCAAAAACAAGTCTTGCCGTGCCCAAGTTAAAGGAAGCTTTAGTATCTAAGTATGCTAAGTTGTGAAATTCTTTTTAATATATAAGACGTATATGCAAGACCTTTTGTTCGGGAAATTGCGTTCAGGCCCCAAGGGAGGAATCTAATTACTCTAAAGTCTGTTAACAATTAAGAAGTAGTATATATGCAATAGCAAATTTTAGTGTAGAAAATAATAATTGGTTTATATTGCTCACTTATCATTGAAACTTTTTAATAATTAAATTCTTTCTTGGGATTTCATGGTAATTCTCTCTGTTTTTTTCCCCAACAAAGCATAAGTGTAAAATCATTGAACCAAACCTTTATTCTTTTTTTTTTTTAATTCTATTTAGTTGGCCAAAGTTCATCGAGTTCATATATCTCCAACTTCAAAGGATTCTAATTCTTTCAAATGAGAAAGAACAACATGTGGATTATGAAAAGTAAAGGTGATATCCAGAAAGCCACCGTTGCCACCGTCCATCTTCTATCCCACCCACCACCATTTCTTTCATTGGTGCTTGAGGCAGTGCCAGCAGTGGAATTACTAGCTGCAATTTTCAATGATATTTTTAAGTACAATAGATATATATATATATATATATATAATGCATATATACTATATACAATGGATTTGATAACTAAAATGAAATGATTTAAAATTTATGATTATTTTTAAGAATAAAAAATATTTTTTTAATTTTAGCAGTTTTATGGTACGTTTGGAAAAGATATTACCATTTAAGTAACTTCAATAATGTTTTTAAAAGTTTAGAAGTAATTTTCCTAAGACCTAGAAGTAATTTAATACTCTCTTTGCTTTTTAATATAAGAATTACTTAATTAGTTTGGGTGGATTAAAAAAGTTAAATAAGTTATTTAATTATAACGTAACAAATGTAACATAGTAACATACTACTACTACATGACATTAGATTGTCTATAAATTTATAAATCATATAAGTTAGTTTGAAAAAAATTATAAATATTGAATTCAAAGTGGATTAATATCTTATATTTAGAACCAAGTTTAAATCCTGATTAGTTCTTATATTAAAAACCAGAAATAATAATTCATTTAAAACTTGATTAGGATCATGATTGTAGGTACCTATCTTTCCTTCAATTCTTAATCATACATTTGGATATTTCTCTTTTAATTAAATACATTAACTTTGCGCTGTTTTGGCCATTAATCTTGTAACTCTGCTCTGTTAGGACTGTTAGCCACTTCACAAGAGCTAATACTACTAATAGACCAAAATTAAGGTAATTAATTAAAAGAGAAAAACTCTCAGATACCATATTGAAAACTAAAGAAAAATATAAATACTGGGAAAATGATTTTCCTCCGATTGTTTAATTAGCTACTCATAACAACAGAATACAATAAATTACGGTCAGAATTTAAATAGCAGAAACTATTGTGAAAGTATAAATTTTTCAAATAAATATGTGTTGAATGTTCAAAATGAGTAATTTATAATATTGATAAACTACGAGTAATAAGTATTATATTGTATCTAATCTTGTGTGGAAATAAGGGGCATAATAATTAATAACTCTAATCAGATCAATTACCAGTAGAAGCTGAAGGGGTGGAACCGTCTTTTCCAGCCATTTTTGCTAAATCTTCAAACTCTTTAGCTTCTTTAGAATTTGGAGGCAAATGCAAGAGATCTAAAAAAATTAAAAACAAATCAGTATATAATATAAAATTTATAATACACACACATTGTCAATAGTGAAACTTGCATACAATAGATTCTATAATCTATATGCAGAGACTCGTATAATTTCACTGGACCCATAGACATCAATCACTAAGTTGATCCCTTCAGATTTTTTTAAAATATACACAAACCTTCTTTAATTTAAAAAAGATTAAATTACTTTTGTCTATTTTGAATTTTGTTGAAACTACGCACACATTTTCTCTATTTCCAGAATACAAAAATATCCCTTCAAAATAGAACAAAAAATAGAAAGCCTGTAACTTTCAAAAAAAAAAAAATTGGAGATATCCCTTGTATTTTTTATTTTAAGAAAATTTTGAAATCTGTGTAAGTTTTGAAAAGAGATTAGATGTTTATATCGTTTAACAAAACCTAACTTTAACCCCTGTTACTTATTTTTCAGAGACGAGCAAATTTTAACATTAACAAATAACTTATCTTACATTAAGCTCAGTAAATTTTTGCAATTTAATTTATTTAATATAAATTAAAAACATTTATATCACACGATAATTCTTTTAACATAAAAAATACGTTGTCAAAGTTCATTTAAAATTTGTAGGGACACTTAAAACCCCACACACGCATATGATATCTTTCTGACCTACCATACACGCATAAAATTAAATTTCGAAAATATGATAATTTTTTTAAATACTCAAAATGGTATCCAGCATGAAGTCCACGTCAGTCTATATGTACCTTTCCTTCGAATATTTGAGTTTTTAAAAGGAGCAATTATATGAACAGGATGATTAACATTCCCAGACATCTGCCTTTCCATTTTTAAGCTATTTCAAAATCAGTATGTACATAAAATGATCTTGTATCATCACACCTAAATTTGAGATAACTAAATAACGAAAACAAAATTTGTCTATTTTCAATAGTATATTAATTATTGGACTGTTGTGAAACATTTTTCAAGACCTAATAATGGTTGTTTGATTGAGGGAAAGAGACCTGAAAATTAAACAGTGGAATTATATAAATTGGCTCTGACAGTACTCAAAATTACTTGATATTAGACAATTAAAAAAGAACCAAAATAAAGAAAGAGAGGGGGAAAAAGAGAAATACTTGTTCAAGATTCATTAACCAATCCAATTGCTTCATATTATTAAAATAGACTCCCAATTTCTTCTTATAACATATATGCAAATAACCAAATTATGTTGATTAAAAAAACTGTACTTTCATCAAATTTCTAATATTCATTATTAATTATGTCAACTTGTCCAATCACCCATGTCCTATTTTTAAAATATTAGCATTTAATAATATTTAATTATAAATTCACATGAAATGAAAAAAGACACATGAGCATATGTAATTGAAGAACTTGACATAATAAATATAGAAAACTTGAACTAAGTTTTTTCTATTGAAAAATTGGTTAAACTGATTAAATGTCATAAATATGTAAAAACTCAATTCATTTTTTCAAAAGCATGTCCTTAATTTTGGGAAGAGATTGAGTGAGTGAATAATTAAAGGATAGAAATGAAAAATATAAAATTTTAAACATTTCAGTTAGTAGTATGTTTTATAAAGAAGAACAAGTGATCATCCCCAAAAAAAAATCTGTTATATGTAGAATTGGATGGAGTATTTTGAGCTAGACTAAGATGGGGTTTATATCCGGCCTGAAGATCATTAGCCTAATTAAGTCTGGTTTGGCTTTTAAAATATTGCTAAAAGCACTTACTGACGCACTCGGTGATGTTAGCCGGGGCATGACAAAGGGAAGGAAGCTTCACAGCTAGAGTGGCATTGATCTTAAGGCCAAGATTAGGATCGTTGCGATCTTTGATGAGAAGACAGATACACTTCTTGCTCTTCTCAAGCACATCTTTGAAGCCATTACAGCAATCTATGGTAGGAGCTTTGGCTTCACCACTAACATAACTAAGACAGCCTGATAAACCTACCAGTTTATCAGCACATTCTGCTCTGTCTTGAGCCAAGTCCGAGCCTCCAAAACCAGCCAAAAGAAGGAGAAAACACAGTACAAACCCTAGATCCATTATTGTTGTTGTTGAGCTTTTGGAAGCCATTGGAATAATGATGATGGAGGAAAGAGAAAAGTTACAGAAGGATAAGAAGAAGAAGAAGAAGAAGAGGAATCTTTCTCCTATAATAATGGCTTGAAGGTGAGGTTCTGAGAGGTGCGTGTGTCCGTGACTTTAATTTATGATGAATCAGCTCTGAAGATGGATAAAATAAAGAGGTAGTGAAGTCATGGGAAGAGAGCGTTAGTAAAGTGGAGCCCAAAACATTTAATTACTGGGACACGAAGCCAGTTGTTATTAATTAGCCATACAATGACGTTTTAATAATCAAAGGTTCATATCAATACTAATTATCCTTCCCGGCAAAAAAAATTCAATAATATAATTGATCATGAGAATGATTAAATTTAATATTTGTATCTTGGCCAAAAAAGTAATATTCAATGTGACAAGTTAACGTTCAAATCCATGTTAAAATTAAAGAGGTGTCCACATTTGGCGTCCGATAATGTCTTGAACATGATCGCCTCTCATAAAAAAATACTTGTACTTGGCAAAAGAAAAATAGTATTTGTATCCTTCTCAAAGTTATTATTATTATTATTTTAAATTTATCAGGTATTCATCACTTGGGTGACGGTTAATAAATTTGGACCGTTAAAATTGGATTTTCCATATTTAATATAATTTAATTTAATTTTTATATTGTAATAATTTAATATTTCAGCATGTGACAAAATTTAAAATAAAGATTATATTTTAACTGCAGTCAGTTTTATAAAAAAATAATTAGTTAAAAATTTTAAAAATGAATAATTGAAACTGTATTTATATAGTACTGATCTAATTATAAGGATGAGTATCATAGTGCTCATGTTGCTGCGATGAGCACCATAAATAGACATGATAGCATTGTTTAATAAATCTAAATTATAAACAACTTCTTGAATTTTGCTATATTAGCTTCCGTCCTTAATACAAGAATAGATAATTAATTTGGAGATATTAAGGAATTAGTTAAATTAATTATTTATAATACATATGTGTTATATTTCCTAAGATATCTTTTTTAATTATTTGTATTAGGACTATTCTTTGATAGAATCTTTAACACGTGCAATCAATATAGGGTAAAAATGAATAAACATGCGAAACAAATTAGATTGTGGTTTTTTATTTAGAATCAAATTAAACTTTTAACTAACTCTTATATGAAAGACATGAAGCAATATGTAGATAATTCTTTTAACTTTTGAAATTTTACAGATAACTTTCTTAAATTCTTACATTTATGCATATACCTCCCATACTACTAGTTTTATTTATTTATTCAGACATAGCTTAACAGGCTTATTATATATTATACACACATATATATAACTCAAAGTTTGAAAAGATTATATATACGCAAAAATATTTAAGAACTGAAACAAATTTTAAATTTAGTTAGGGTTGTGAGTGTTTAAGATCATTTTGAAAAATTACTTTGGCAGTTTATGACCCAAAACACGCTTTGCTTTTCCCGGCCAGTTCGATCCTTCGACGTTCAAGGTAAAAGTAAACAACAAATCACCGCTACAAAAACGCCGGAGGTCATCTTTTCCTTCTCCATTGAAAATCGAATTTTCATTCTCTTATTTAAGGAATGAAAAGAAACCTAGTTATTACTCACACTAGCATGACTTATATGCAATTTTCGAAATGCCCTTATTGTGATCTTCTTGTGACTTTCGTAGGGGTATTTTGTCTTTTCACCCCAAAATATTTTTGATTTATATATATTGAAGTTGAGATAAAGGCTGAGACTGAAAAGACGACGTAGTGTGGGTGAAGTGAAGTGGATCCAAACTAGTGAATTTATTCATGCTTCCTAGCCACTCTCCCTAACTAACCAGAGAACAACGTGGCGTTTGGTCCCCCACACACCCTCAAAATTTTTTTTTTGAATAAGGATTAATATTTAATTCTTTTAAATTTGTCTTTATTTTGGTTTTAGTTCTTTAAGTTTTTTTTTATTTAAAACATCGGTCCCTATTATTTAATAAAAAATTAGATTATTTTGTCTTTTGAGAGATTAAAACCTCTTGTTTAAAGCTTGGGAGACTAAAACTAAAATTTATACAAACTTGAGAGATCAAAAATTATATTAACCCTTGAAATAAAGAATAATTATACCACTTTTTAGCCTAAATATTAGAGCTAGATAACTTATTTGAAAAGATTAAAAAAATTAGTTAAATTAGTTAATTGTAATAAATATGTGTTATAACTTTCCTAAACTACCTTTTTAAGTCAATTGCATTGGAATTAGAATTACTTGTTGGTGGGAATCCTTACAGTCAACACGATATTTGGAAAACAAAGTGAATTGAGATCTTATATTTAAGATCAAACCTGATCCTCCAATTAGCTTTTTTTTATTAAGGGCCAAAGGCAATATTATATAAAAAATAGAGTAAAATACTCTGACCACCCTTTTATTTTATCTTAATTATACAGACTTTCTGTAACATCCTGAGTTTTATCGGGTTTTAATGGCCTCTTTTGGGTTGATTTTGAGGATAGATTAGTGATTTAACCTTGATCTTGGTGTTTGGGTTGGATTTGAGGTTTGTTGGAGGAATAGGTAAACGTACCCCTTTCAGGGTATGTTCGCCGCGGCGAACCGGGGGTTTCAGAGGGGAGTGTCTTCTCGGGAAGGTTTGGCCGCGGCGAAGTCTTGGGGACGCCGCGGCGAAGTTGTTCTGGTGAGCGAGGCTTCCCTCTCGGGAAGGTTTCGCCGCGGCGAAGGTAGGGTATGCCGCGGCGAAGGTTGTCTGGGCGAGCGAGAGTTTCCTCTCGGGAAGCTTTCGCCGCGGCGAAGATTGAAGTTCGCCGCGGCGAAGTCGGTTTTTCAGGCGAGTAATCCCTCTCGGGATTAGTTCGCCGCAGCGAAAGGTCGCGATTCTATATAATCGCTGGAGGGTTCAGATGTGCGAAAATTGGAAAATCTGAAGGAGGAGAGAGAAGCTCTGCTAGGGTTTCGTGGAGGAGGCTTGAGAAAGGCATTTCTAAGGATCCATTACCTCAAGTAAGTGATTTTAACCTCTAATCTTCTTTCTTTCTTGAAATTCCATGGAATTTATGAGGATTTTTGGTGGAACCCTAGGATTTTCTAGGTTGTGATGGAATTGAGGTTTTTGACCGATTGTTTTGGGTTTAATTGATTGCATTGGGTTAGTTTAAGTATTTAATCGGTGTAGTTTCCTTGGATTTAAAGAATCTTGAATTTTGGAGTTAGGGTTTATGGAATTGGATGATTTGGGATTGAGGATGATAATGTAGAGATTGATTTTTGAGTTTTGTGAATTGGGTTATGTTAAGGAGGGTTAATTGGATGTTTAATCGGTTTAGATTTGTTGTTGGGACCTTAATTGCTCAAATGGGTTGTTGGAGGTTGAATTCCTATAGTGGGTCCTTGAGGTTTGAACTCTAATTGATGCTTGGAAGGAGACTTGATGTTTTAATAGACTTTGAGGACTTTGGAGTGTGGTTTTGTTAGTTATACCCTTTAAGTTGGGTAGAGTTTTGATGGGAGATAGGAATTTTATGTCCCCAAGTGTTGTTTTGGCCACATTATTAGTTTGAATGCTAATATATGTTGGTTGTGTGTTTGTGTGCTTGTGTAGACCGGTTGTGAGTCTTGGTGGTGCGCGGGGCCACTTTGTTGATTGTTATTCCTTGCTTAGGCGAGAGGTAACCACTTTCCAATCCTTAGTACTTGCTTCTGTGGTATTGTGAGTAGATTTGTGTTTTGTGCTCCAATTAGTAATTGTGTTCGAACTATATGTTGTATATAAAAATGGAAAACCGTCTTGTGGGGTTTGGACTTATGATGAATGAAATTGTGGAATTGTGAAAGATATGCCACTGAATGGGGTTAATTATGAAATGATTATTACTCTTGATTATGATTTGAGCATGATGCATTAATTGAGAATTTGGTGAGAGTTTTGTCTGTTACTACCACGTGGTAAGGTCTCCATTAATGCATGATGGTTGGCTCTTTACGTCCCCCATAGTGAGGGATAGGCCTTCGGGCTCATTACGTCCCCCAGAGTGAGGGATAGGCCTTTATGGCTCCTTACGTCCCCCATAGTGAGGGATAGGCCGGGTTCGGCTCCTGAAAATCCCCCAAAGTGAGGGATTTGGTTGATGGGATTGCATCATTTCACTTGCATAAATTGTTGTGGCTATCATTATGTATAATTTGTAAACTGCCCCACTTGACATCTCACGAGCACCTATTTAGTAGTACCTAGCATTGGAAAGGTTGGTTACTGGGACTTTGTCTCACCCCGTGGTTTACAATATTTTCAGGTGAAGGTTCTAGGCGTGCGCCTTCGGGAAGAGACGCAGAGGCTTGAGCTTGGTTAGCTTTAGGCCTCTAGCTTTAATTATGTATGGATAGTTGTATATTGCCACGTTTAGGGTCCTTTTAAACTATTTTGATTGCCCGGTTTATTCGTAAACTGGAGGAAGTGTATCTTCTTCTTATTTCAATTGGGCCGGAGGCCCCTTTTTATTGATTTTGTAAACTGGAGAATACATTATCTACTCGTTTTGTTGGCCGGAGGCCATTCCTATTATTTTATGAAACTTTGTTATTCGTGGTTGAGATCTATTGGGATGGGCTGATTTTGATGTATGTCGTTACCCGGGCCGGAGGCTCGGAGGCCCAGTGATTGCGATTGAATGATGATAGTTGCATGCAACTGCATTTGAGATGGAACCAAGTTTTAAATGTTAATTTTTAAAATTACGCAATTTCTTTCTACTATGGTAGTTGTTGTAACATCTTTCTTTTTCTACCATAGTAGTGGTCTTATGAAGAGTATTGATGTTTAAGGATAAGGTTTTTACACTTTCCCTTTACTTTGATAATGTACATTTGAGCCCAAATCATCAATACCATTAAAGAATATTGTAAAAAAATTCTTTAAGTATATTTTCTAATTAAAAACCATATTAGAATAAATCTTGTTTACTATTTTACTCCTCATTATATCAAATCTCTCGGTTATCTTTTAATATTAATATTTATTAATGATCTATTTAATATTATTACTAAAT